GGACGAGCGACAGATTTTTCCCAGAAAGGCGGTGAAACGCACACCGCACAGCGCCACCTGGCCGAGGTAGGGAGGCCTATATATACGGGGTGGCCGGTGAATGGTTGTGCAGCGCTAGCAGTTGATTTTTTCAATCAAGAAACTCTCTTGCAGATGCTGCCTGCGTTGGCGTTGCAATGCGAAAGAGGGGGAGAAGACTTGCATGCGCAGTAAGGGTGGTCACGCCGCACACGTGATTTAACTCGATTATAATATGCTTCGCATCTAAAAAAAGGCAGGAAGGTAAACCATACAGGACTGCCTGGCTGCCCAAGTGCCTCTGAGAAAGCGGCGCTAAAAAACAACCCCTACGATAACTTCGTTGGTTTCGAGTAGAGAGACTGGCAGCCGCATACTGCACCAAGTTCAGATGCACAATGCAGCCGCCGCTGTCGGTTGTTTTGAGCTTTGGATTTGAATCAATGTCGAGCGTGCAAACGTTCTTCAGGTCAAGCAGTCTTTGTAAATGCAAAAAACTCGTCAATGCTAAGTTTGCTCATGACATGCAGGAGATAAAAAAGTAAGTTTCGGTACGCGGCAGCTCCCAAGTGCAGCGACACTCATAAAATGTTGAACTAGAGGTAAGTTCTACGAGGCATGTTCACGTGATTAGCGTCAATTTATACATGAAAAGATTGCTGTTAAAAAGCCCGAAATGATGTGCATCACACGACAAAACAGAATCATGAAAGGTCCAGGGATGATGGCTAGCAGTCGGCGGTCTGAACACATGCTGCATGCGTTGGCGTTGTCTCTCGAGGGTGAGGATGCCTTCTTATTTCTTCTCAGCTGTGGTAGTTCAGCATTTGTTGCAGAAAAAGTGTTTTAATAGTCGACGCGCAGTATTCTCTCTGTCTTCTGCCACACAGTGAACGCTGACCCAGTGGCGCCCTCTCTTGCACTTAAGGTAATAGACCGTCACAGCGGCAGCAGATGTTAATAGACACCAACATGCCGAGACCCTCAATTTCTTCACCCCCTGAAAGGATGGCTGTAACTTGGCTTGTGTGAATACTCAGTTTTAGCTTCGAACTTAATAATGATTTGGTTGAATTATCTTGAATCAAATTCGGATAGTCTATATTGTATATTATAAAGAAAAATGGGCATATTTGTCATGACCCAACTATCTGAAAAATATTTTTTTTATTGAAACAAAGCATGTGCAAATGTTATTCTTTTTGATTCAAATGCAGTGTAAATAACTTTCAGTAGTAGCTGTATTTGAATTTTCATAGAATGCTGGTGATATAACCTATAAAATATGTTATGTTGTGAAATTTACTATACCTAGAGCATATAAGTCAGTCTAACATGCTTTTAAACTTGAAAATAATTGATGTGGGGGCAATGTTAATATCACTTCAAAGTGGAGCTTCACGACAGTGCTGATTTCTCTTGTATAGTCGTTCTCACAGCTTAGCATCCCTCTCATGCAATGAAACCACCTTTGCTGGTGTTTACAAGCAGACTAATACAGTCGAACCCAATTATAACAATAGTCAAGTGCCATGATAATTGCATTTCTATAACTAGTAATGGCTATAAAAGGGTTGGACGACAAAATGTAAAATAGGGGGACAGCAGGCTATTGTGAGAAAACGATAACATTGGTTGGGATAGACCAACAGACAACAGTAATAAAGATTCTAGTGTTGCCGACTCATGTCAGACGGGGAGATAAGAGCAATAAACTTCTCGTAAACAGGACAAACACTTGCATGGATTCTTCAGAAAAGATTTCTAGTTCCTATTGGGTGTTGGCGTAAACTTTGCGTCAGGCAGAAATGAGCCCATTTTTCGGATATGGTTGGAAATTCGGACGCTTTTATGGGACTGCCACAAACTCAATAGAGCTAATGTATGACGTTGGAAGTTTTGGATACTGAAATTCACAGAAGTCAACTTTTTACTCAAGTTGCATGTCCCCAAGTGCATGGACAGGAGCCACCCCTGCTGCGATGCAGTAGCTATGGTGGCTCCTGTTAATGCACTTGGGGACATGCAACTGACGACCCAGCTGATTTCAAAAATAAGTTTTGCCACAATGCCATAATGCTCTGTGCTGAAGCATATCGTGAATTCCAAGGGGAACTGTGGGATGTTGGGATTGTGGATAGGGGTTTAGCAGCTTCAATTTCTCATTTTATTCATCTTTTCTTTAAGAATTTCACCTTTTATTGTCTCATAGCAAGGCCACCCAAAAGCCAGAACTTACTGTTGTAATCGATCATGCTGTGCGCGAGTTATTTCTCCGTAGAAAAAATACTAAAGACGACTGTATAACAGCTTGTAATTATTATAACCGATGTGTTGTAAAAACTGGTGATGTCGTAAGTGAGTTAGACTGTGTACACCTATTCATTAATTTTAAATACTTCAAAATTTTCAATAATTTAAATTCAAATCAAAGCAGATTCAAATGCTGTTATATTCGTTTAAACATTCGAAGTGTTTGAATATTTGCTCTTGCTTATCTGTAACATTGAAAGACAAGTAAACAACCTCGCGGTCCAAAATTTGGCATGGAAAGGTAACTGCGCACTTGCAGGATGTCAACATGCAACTGCACGGATTTTCCAAATAAGTGTTGTTATAAGAAAGTCTCAACTGGCTTTGACTGGTTTTAGTTTCTCTTTATGCCTTCTCACCAGTGATGAGTGGTAAGTGTAGCCTTTTTTTGTAATTATGCCCACTTTGGCAATGTAAAATGACCTAAATGATTGGATTATTGGCCCGCAACCAATGACCTAGCATGGCATGTGCAGCTCTGGCATGTGTTGCCAATGCCGAGCGGTGTGGTGAGGAAATATGGTGAGAGAGCTGTGAGGTACTGGTGATTTAAACAAACATGTCACGGTGTATGTGCGCTTCCCTTGGCAGTAAATGCGCAAAACACCTCTTGGTCTCAAAGGCGATAATAAAACTGCATCACTGCTAGGCCAAGGCACAATTTTGTAGTTCAAAAAACCAATCCATGTAGTCGGTGCTATGTAACGTGGCCCATGGGCAGCATTAGATCACTTCATGAGCGAAGAGTACTAGATAGGTACTAGAGGGAAGTGTGGGAAATGTTTTTCGAAACGGAGTGTCAGCGCATCATTGAGACAGTAAAAAAAGTGGTCACAGTAGCCTTCTGTGTGAATAGGAGAGCTTGTCTGGGAGCTGTAAAAAGAAAAGTGAGCTGTTTACTGGCCTCTTTAAGATATGGAAAGAGAGCAGAATGGATCAGAGAACAAACAGGTGTAGCCGATATCCGTGCTGATAATAAGAGAAAAAAGTTGACATAGGTGAGTCACGTAATGCATTGTGCCGTTCACAGATGTTCAGTGCGAAGGATGGATTGGGTAATAAAAAATGGCAGCATATCCACGGAGTGAATGATGGAGAATGGGGCGAAGCATCCGTCTGTCAATTCGTTCTTGCTTCCGTCCGTCCATGCGTGCGTCTGTGTGGCCGCCCGTGCGTCCATCCGCCCGTCCGTGCGTGCGTCTGTTCGTGCATCCGCACGTCCATCTGTGCGTTCGTCCATGCATCCGCGTGTGCGTCCGTCCATGCGTCCATCCGTCTGTGCAGCCATCCGTGCGTCCGTCCATGCATCTGTCTGTGTGTTTGCTCGTCCACCTATTCAACACTCCAAGTACCACCATCTCGCATCTTTTCATCATATATTCCTCATATAGAAGCACCGCCATCCAGCGGACATTCCAAGGACTGAACAAGAGGAGGCACACGCACACTTTCTTACGGCTTACGCTTCGTGTCTACTTCCCACCTTTAACAAGCTCGAGTTCATGATATGTATTCATGGCACTGCGGCCCAACGCTTGCTAAACCTTTCTAAAACCAAGGAGGTTACGCCCAGCGAGTATAACGTAGCAATCCTTTCTTGTCAGATAGTGCTCAATGTACATGCCAATGGCTGCTAAGGGGGAATGAGAGACAGGAGAATTCCGCTTTTAGTTAATGTGCACGCTGCGAATTTTTTATTGTTCAACAACGCACACAAGAAATCTCCCACCGGCACCACATTGGAAGTCAAAATGTAAGACTGCTTACACACTACTACTATGACTACGAGGGATGAACGGGTGCCGCTATAAGGAGCTTCGCCCCTAAAAAATGGGAAACAGTGCAGAGGCTGGAAGAGAGTTAGGTGGCTGATAAAATTAAGAAGTTTACAGTAATAATAAGGAATCGGCTTGTACAAAACAGTGCAGATTAGAAATAATTTTTAGAGGCCTTTATTCTGCACTAGACTGAGGATAAGACCGAGAACATAATGGCAAATTGTACTTATGCTGATTGCACATTGTTTGTTTTATCTTTTGAGAGTCCTCGCGAAGCTGCATTCACTATGAACTTTGTTCTAAAGTTAATATTAGCATCTCACACCCTTACGAAATATGTTATAAACTTAAGAATTTTAGAAGGTTTAGGGGATCATTGAAAGAGTACTAACACAAAAGTTCTTGCATCTTGCTTATTCTATATCATAAAGTACCTAATGACCCACTTATCACAGCTGGAAACCTTGTTCACTTGAGTGGTTTACTATTAATTATTTGTTGACATTTTTATAGCACAAAGTTGCAGTTTTGGATCCAAAGAGCGCTAGGTGAGGTGAGACCTAGAAATAAAAAGCTATTCTTTCAAAACTTAGAATGAAAGCATGGTGCTTAGCTGTGCATTCTAAAGTATTCTGAAGTACTCTTCTTCTGTCATGCTAAAGTACTCTTTTGCCAGTTGACTGGTAACGCTGGGGACTCTCAGGGTTAAATATTGTGAACCAGTTTTCCGGGCCTGCTGATGCGCGCTGTATTTTCATGCCAACGTGTTACTGTTTGTAGGTGTTCTCTTTGCCTGGATGTAAGAATTTCATGTTGTATTGTGCTGAAGTCAAGTAACACTGCAACTCTAACTTTTGCTTTTCCATTTAACCTTTTTGTTTATCTTCGCAGTTTGTGGATCTTGGGGAAGACTCGTTGGTACCAGACGACTTCACAGAGGAAGAGATACACACAGGCATGTGGTGGCGTCATTTGGTTGCTGGGGGAGTTGCTGGTGCAGTGTCTAGAACATGTACTGCCCCTCTGGACCGCCTCAAAGTTTTCCTCCAGGTACATAGTACACATATTTAACAGACACAAGTATTCTTGATTTTATGGAGTACTGTAATTGTTACTTTTAGCCTTACGTTACCTAAATGTAACTACCGTATTTACTCACATAACAGGTGCTTTTTTTTTTTTAAGAAAATCCAGCTCAAAGTTCAGAATGTGCCTATTAGGCGGGGTCAAATTTTCGAAAACTTTATTTCTAACTACAGCATAGACCATCGATAACACATATGTCGCCGAAGTCACGTATATTGGTACTTCAGTCGAAACAGCCTTCTTCATAGGCTACACTAGTGCAAAACGTGTAGAGCATGTACTCTCGCGTGTCACGTGATATTGAGTGCATTCGAATTTCCAATTTAACATTGAAAGACCCGTGTTGCCAGTTAATTGAGCGCAAAAACAAAAAACTGTGAAGAAAAAAATGTCGTGATGGGAACTCACTGATTACATTTCAGGCCGCCTAGATTATGCGCATTGTCACAACAGAAATGTGCACTCAACGGTACCAATCTTTCAATTTCACGGGCCCGCACCCTATATTCAAGACATTGCAATCGAACGGCCATACGTGTGTAACAAGCCCCACCCGAGCCTTTTTTCCTTTAAGTAGAGTCTCCGATGAGGGTTATGTTGATTTTCTACGAACCCGCAACTTCGATAGCCCGTGACTGCCACCGTGAAGCAGCCAGCACTAATTAGGCGTAGCCTGCGGTTCGGTATGTTGTCGTGAGACGTTTGTACATGACAGCATGAAGACTGAGCGTCGAAAATGTCATGCTCAAGCACTAACCGAAGAGCAGCACGCGTGATACAATGTTTAGGTTCAAGGCCAAGATATCAATGGCGACAGAAGTCTACCGAGCTTGTGCAAGTCCGTGTTGTGGCACCAAAGGCGAAAGCTCGCATCGAAAAGACAAAGCTTTTAAATTTGCGGACGAGGTAGCAAATGCGATATCGATTACACTTTTCTCAACAGGAATGCGCACTTGGCAAAGATGATTTCCTCGTTCTATGAGGAGCGTGCGCCGGTGCAAAGGTTACTCCGATACCCAGGCAACTGCCCTTCTTCCTCACTCGGTAAGCTCGAGGAGCTGGTGCAGCACTGTCGCGGTCTTTTTTTTTCTTTCTTCGATTTAGTTAACATAAAAGGGCGTCGAATCGCAACCTCGCAAATACGGTACAGAACTAATCATGGCCAAGTTCGGGGTGCGCCTATTATGCGAGTAAATACAGTATCTACGGTATCTATCTCAACCTTAGTTTTTCTTGTAACTGCTGAAAACGTAGGCATGTGTAAGTTTTAAATTTTTGCTCAAGGGCACACATCAATAAAGATACTGTTCTATAGACTACACGTTAGTAGTGCTAAATGTACATGAGGTCCTTGCTGAAAGCTATCAGACCTATGCCTTTTGAATGTGATGTGCAGTGTTGCTTGCTATACTGTGCTATAATTTGCTCTCCTGAAACTGATTTAATTCAGCTGTGCATTCTTTTTTATAATTATTGGGGTTACCAGGTTCGAGGCAGTGAGTTCCAATCTATCCAGCAGTGTTTGCGGCACATGTTGCAAGAAGGAGGGATACCGTCACTATGGCGTGGCAACGGCATCAATGTTATCAAGATAGCTCCTGAAAGTGCACTCAAGTTTCTTGCCTATGAAAAGGTTAGTTCACATTTGTTGTTCTGCAATCACTTTTTTGTTTTGTACTATATAAAAAAACATTTGCTGTGTAGTAAGTGTCATGTACAATCGATTGCACTACACTTTTGATGTATGTTTCTATGCATAGCTTCCCAGAGCAGCTATTTCATACCCTGCTTTGAGTGATTGCCAGTAGTTTTTAGACATCGGCGATGATACTGGTACTCATAATTATATGGCACATGCGTACGTGTGTAATTATTAAGGTATTAAATATGCCATGTAGCCCCTTCCCAATGTTGCCACACTTTTTTTGCATGGCATCACTGTGCTGCGGCCATGGTCATTGCAGCAGTATTTTGCATGCAATAGACCAATGCTAGAAAACTGAGATTGATTGCTGTCCTTTAGCATTTTTTTTTTCAAGGTGCGGTTGGGGCTATTTTTGCGAGATTCATGGCAATGCCCATACACTTTAGAGGATGGCTCAAAATTTGGAAGTGTTGTGTGTAAATTGAGTGAGTTGGCTGGTGTTCAGTTCCTAACAAACACAGGAAGACACATAAGGACCTCCTAGATTTATGCACGCTATCTTGAATGTTTCAATGTGCTATTGATACTGACAACCAGCCACATTGGCAGCGTCCGCATATCTGCGCTTGAGTTCTTTGCACCTGTGCTTGTTTGGCACGACTTCCACAGCCATGTGGGCAGCACCCATTCTCACAAGCAGGGCAGTGTACATTGGCATCAAACGTTGTGGGGTTAAAATCAGTTTTCAAGTGTTCAACAACCATACTCTAGTAAATTGCAGGCTGATGAGTCTTGGCATGAACCACCGAAATATTTGTACGAGCTGGAATCTTGGATATCAAGATTCTACTCTAACTAGATTGCAACTTGCACTTTTCACTATTGAATGAACTTTCTACTGCAGCAGGATGAACATTTTTGTGATATAAAGCAGTTTTAACAAATAGAGTGTGTGAAAATATCAGACCTGCCATGTTTAAGACTACTGCTGACTGCATGAGCTAGAGAACAAATGTTGTTGGTACATATTGACCATTTCTGACCAGCGCTCAAAACTTTATTGGTAGCTGTGTTTGCGATTAAGGACTAAAGTAACCATGCTTTTGTAAATTTGTTAAATGCTATGTGTGCAGTGAATTCTTATTACATTATCGTGGCCTTTGATGGGTGGAAACTTGGGTATGTTGGTAGGGCATAATAAATTTAAGAACAATGAAGCAGATTAGGACTGGCAAAGAACACATATACAGCATTGATATGCTGTTATAAACTGCATCTGTGATTTTCACTTGACATGTGTTGATTGTGGCCAAGTACGGGACAAAATTTAATATTGATTGATATACAGAATCTCTTTTTGCAATAGTCCAGCTGATAGAAAAACTTAACACTCAGGCTATCAAACTTTCTGATGTAATATGCTTTATTAACACTTCACAGCATTTATGTGTGTTCTTCACCAGTTCTCTGTTGTGCTGTTATTTCATTTATTTCATCTTTGTTTAGTATTCAGTTCTCATTTCACTCCTCTCTGTATACTGTATACATTTCATTATTCGTCTTGATATTAAATGCAGTCGCTATTCAGAAAGCTGGGAGCACATGTGCCCTATTTATGAGTGATTTTTGTTTTTATAGCAGATTCTCGGTAAATGAAACTCTCTTAAAACGAAATTGCTACTTGAATAGAACAGCTGCCTCTATAGTTGGTACTTGAATGCTACGTTCCTGTTTATCTCTCCGTATATGTACGGGTTCTGGTAATCTCTATGGGTTCTAGTATACCCGATTACTTGATTGTAGTACAGTGCAGTCCACTTATAACGATACCACATATAACGATATATCGGTTATAACGATGGGTCGACTTAACAGTCTCATTTTATGCATTGGGGCTATGGGGAAAAAAACCATATATAACGATATGTTATCCACCGCATATCGGATACAACGATGAAAAGTTTGCCGTGGACGGCATGTTTCATTCAGAATAATCGTAACATTTAGATTGATAAGTTCCTCTGAAACGAATTATGCCGAGACAGACGAAAAGTTAGCGTAGGCGAGTACCTGCCGCCACTGCAGCACAGCGCCGGCAGCGCGTCCCGGCCGTTCAAAAAGCCGAGGAGAGCATCGCGAGTTGGCGCGACGCGCTACAGATGGCGCCAGCTGTGTCACGTTTTGCGCCTCGCCGCGCGTCGACCGCGGAGAGGCTGAGAGAATTTCAAAACAAAAAAAAAAAATGCGAAAAGCAAAGCGCCGCGCTCCGCGGCTCCCCGCCTTCTACAACGGCAAGCCGGCAAGCTACTCGTAGCTTGCCGAACGAAAGCGGGAAAGAGAGAGAAAATAAAAAAAGCGAAAAGCAAAGCGGCGCGGCGGCATCGGGGCGGGGCCTCGTTGGCATTCCGGCTGTGTACCTCTGGCTGTGCTTTCTTCCTCCCACTGCTCCCACCCCGCCGTCGGTCAGTCTCTCTTCCTCAGCGAACCCGTGATGCGTTCTTCGGAGTAAGAAATAAAGTCTTGTTTTTGACATCCTACTATCTACAATATTTGTTAATTGGTGAAAATAGCGAAATGAAGCCTGGAGCTACAAAAGGTACGTCCGGCGACAAATTTTTGGCGGCAGTCCAGATATAACGATCACCGGTTATAACGATCATATTTTTAGGTTTTCTCGATATCGTTATAAGTGGACTGCACTGTAGATATAGCTTTGCACGATTTCTTGCTCATTTCAAGTGAGTTTGACTAAACACTGAAAAGAAATGAGTAGCGTTTTTATGGTTTTACATTAATGACTATTTTAAGTTACCAACTTTATTCACTTGTTCATTATGTGTGTGGGTATGTATGTATGTATGTATGTATGTATGTATGTATGTATGTATATATAGCACATACTTCATGCAAGTGGGCCTTCTTTCACTGGATGGGAGACGAAATTGGCCTGCTCATATTTCTGTGCTCTGTTTCATTTAGACTATTGAAGCTAGTATACATGTACAGAAAGCCAGTGAGACCACAGTCATTGGACAGGTGCTTTCATGTGGGGCACTTACGATAACAGTGAAACAAAAGCATTACTGTCTTGATTTTCTAGTTTCGTTGGTTTGCTATGCTACTAGAGTTCGATTTCATAGATTCATGGGTTTTTTTTACTCGTTAAAGTGCTTACTGTAACAATTCACGCCAATGGTTCTAATTTTAGTGCCAGCAAGCTTGAATTCTTGTGCCAACCAATTCAATCTATACACAGAAAGCAGCATGTTTGCAAGTATAGAGCGTCTAAATGCCAAAGTTGAGTTACCGTGAGACGACGACAGCAATTTTTGTTTGCACTGGTAAGGCTCATTAAATAAATTAGTGTGATACAATCACTCAACGTTTTTACAATTGAAACACTGTTACAATTGAAAAAGTGAGGTAGGTAATTGACATATTTGTATAATAAGCATATTCACTAGAAAAACATGTGGTAAGGGCTTGAAGAACCAAATCAATTTATGCTTTATTGGTGTTGCATGATTTCAGCTCTTTTGCGGTCTTGAACTACTTTTCTGTGTAATCATTCAAGAACCTCATAGTAGTTAATTGTCTCGCGAATCACTTGCTACAAAACTTTTTCGAATCTATTAAGAATGAGTACAATTGCAGTGTATTGCCATGTGTTTTAAGCACCTTCTCTCTTATCTCATCCTGATGAGTATCCTGGAAGCTCAGCAGGGAGGCCTGACATGGAGGAACAAATTTATGTTAGCACACATCATGACCTTGAGCATGCGTGATGAAACGGGTAGATGGTGCCACCTAGCGGGGCCCAGTTGAACTGTTCAATGGCTGTGCCTGCGGCTGTGGCTTTGGCTACTTTTGCTCTGCTGCTACAAGTGTCTGCAGACGCACAGTAAAAGCGGGAAATGTCGGGCATGGCAACAGTGAGATTCCTATCGTGCCACTTTGATATGTCTCGATTACATGTTTTGATTAGACAATGTATTATCAACTTTAGAATAATTATAAATTCAAGCAGATATGTAGCGGAAACAAATGACTGGGTAATGAACACTAGAAATGCATTGATAATTTTTTTCAAAGAACGGAGGTACAAAAGCTTACAATGAGAAGCAAGGAGCAGCAGTTCATTTTGGGTACTTCATGGCTGTAATGCCTGTATGGTGGCTGTATTTGTGAAGAATGCGGTGAGCAAAGTTGTTTTGAAATAATACAAATGCACTTCTTACATTTGCTGAACAGGGATTCCATACCACAGCGTCATATTCTAGCTTGCTCCAAATTAGTGTCTTATACATGAGAAGTTTCAGTTAGATGGGTGAAAAACAGAGGCTGTGGCAAACGTATCCAAGCACACTGTTAATCATGAAGTGAAAATGGAGAGACCAGGTTAAAAAGGTGGCGTTGTGTACGCCTAGGCAGCAGTAAGAGGTTACTGAATTGAGTGGAATATGGTTAAGATGAGCTGTTGTAGTGTTTTTATAATACCTATAAATCCTTTTTTTTTGTCATTAGTGCCTATAGATGGCTATCTTTAAGATTGGTTCCTATATGAACGCTATTTAACCTCAAATTTTGCTTTCGAGTACAGTTGGAAACCAGTATTCATTTTACCAGACAAAATTGAGCTTTCAGAACTTTATGGGGTGCAGCCTATACTCCATCTCATAAGTTCTTTTCGGCACTGTCATGGCTACGAGGCCTGTTAGCCAATAGGAAGGCTCATTAGCTCCTACACATGTATTCATCCACATTGCGTCTGCTCTGCTTCTCCCTGGCGTCTGCTAGCATGCGATGGAACAGGAGGTGCTTCTGTGTAGCCGCATGATGATGGAGAACTAATGAGGAATAGTGGAGTGTCATCAGAAGAAAATGAAGTGTCGATGAAAAAAAAGTTTTTGTTTTGCATGCCATTTACTTCTTAAACAGCGCTTCACTGTAGGTCACATGAGAAATTTTACTGTGCTGGAAGTTGTTGC